GCAGTTGCCCTAGAACGAGCCAGGTGTTTTTTTTTTTTTTTGTTTTTTAATTTTTTTTCTTTACATCATTTAATAGCATACGGCGACAAAGACTCTCCTTTGTTGAGAAGAAGCGGAATAGACGAACTGGAGGAGATGGCAATCTATTTAGTACTGGTGTATAAGCATCATATACGCGGGGATGCATACTTTGTTTTTTTTTTTTTTGGCTTTTTTGTCAATTTGCATGTTGGATTTCATAGGTCGATGCATAGCAAGTGGCTCTTTTTTTTTTTTTTTTTTTAATATCGCGGCGAGGCGCTGGATATCTGGGACACTCACAATTGCGTTGGGAATATCTATACTAATTACATCTGAGAAGCGGTATTAGCGAACTCTAGGGCTTTGACAATAGGATACATAGATCGGCGCACTTGTACGTACATATCTGTAAGAAGTAAGAGACTTGTCGAAAAGAAACAGCGCCTGTAGCGACTCTGCGACAATGTGGACTGAGTGAAGTGTCGGGAAGTCGGGACTATGTCTGATTCTTATTCCGGTCCTGACTACCTACCTACTCGTCGACTCCACTGGATGGCACCATTCCCGCCATAGAGAGAGAATACGTCGGCGTATGTATATTTGTGGGCACGACGACCGCAAGCGGCAACACGCATCTTGCATCCCAACGTACTTGGGTAATCGAACAATCATGACGGCAGCTACGGAGACGAGCGAAATATACCCCATTTCCACATTCATACACGATCTACCCGTTACTCTGAGTGCCACGCTGCCTCGCGAAGCGGGAGGAGCAGCAGTAGCAGCACCACCACCAGCACCACCACCAGGTTCCATCTCAGCGAGACGGCTCATCATCATCGGGGACGTGCACGGCCTACGAAAATCGTTGGAAGCGCTCCTCGACGCGGTGGGGTTTGACAAATCACAGGGCGACGAGGTTATTTTCGTAGGGGACCTGGTCAGCAAGGGCCCTGATTCCGGGGCCGTCATTGACTTTGCCGGGCGTATTGGCGCAAGAGGGGTGAGAGGGAATCATGACGACGCCGTTCTGAGGGCCGCTCAGCGGCTCAAGATGGGAGCGGGCCATGATTGTCATGATGATGATGATGATAATGACGGCGCCGCAGAAGGGGCAGGCGAGGACCGCGGTGGGAAGAAGGAGAAGAAGAAGAGGAGCGTGAGCGCTCGTACGGCGGCAGCATTGTCCGACTCGCAGCTCGAATACCTCGCTTCGCTTCCTCTCATGGTGCGCATTACGGCGACGCCGTCGCTGCCGGGGATCGAGCAGATTGTTGTCGTGCACGCGGGGCTGGTGCCGCGGGTTCCGCTGGAGGAGCAGCCTGCCCACGCGGTGATGCACATGCGCAGCTTGAGGGCGGTGGAAGGGTGCCTTGTGCCGTTGGAAGAAGCCGGGGAGCGCGGCTGGATCGTGGAATGGGATGCGTGGCAGGAGGAGTGTGCGGGGAAGACCATGGTTGTGTTTGGGCACGATGCCAAGAGGCGGCTGCAGAGGGGCAAGTACGCCTTGGGCCTGGATACTGCGTGTGTCTATGGGGGCAAGCTGAGCGCTTGGGTTGTCGAGGCGGGCGAGGCGAGGGTTGTGCAGGTTGACTGCGCGGATGAGGTGGATGAGGTCCGTGGCTCGTGATGTTCGTGAGGGAGTTGAGGCAAGTTGTGGTGTTGCTGTGTGGACTTGTCAAGTTGCCAAGTGCGCATGGGTTTATATTTCAGGGTCCCTTCAGAGACTATGAGCATTTTGGTATTCTCGGCGCGTTAGTTTGGCAAAATTCTCTCGTCGTGCCTCGCAAGGCCTATTGGCATGAGTGCGGTGTTGATGCGAGCAAGAGGAGTAAGAATCTTAACCCCCCAGCTCGGACAAAAGGAGGAAACAAAGCAGCCAAACTGTCAAAGCTTCAATACACACATACCTAGGTATGTATCCGAGTGTTCGGTATGCAGAGCGTGAAAACCACGCAAGGGAAGGGGCCAGCCGAACTTGTTCACAACGGCACACTCCTTCTTTTTCTAATTAGATATGCAACACCCCGTTTGTATATATTCTATTTGTCTTCTGGTTACTACGCTCTTACGTTACTTTGCGGTACAATCCGCGCAGGGTTTGTCTCGGAACGACAACTCGGCTTTACAAGAATGTTGTCATTGCTCCATCCACAAAGACATTCGCACCACAAAACATAACCCGCGAGCGAGCTTGCCAGGAACACGACGACATTCGCCACCTCTTCTGCGGTGCCGAATCGACGCAGGGGCACAGCATCCAAAAGGCCCTGGGCAAACTCTGGGTTGGTCTCTCTGAGCATCTGAATGCGGCTTGGCCTTCGTGACCCATCAGGGAGCACCTTTCCCGGCGCTTCAATCGGGCCAGGAATCACAGAGTTGATCCGGATACCCAACGGGCCCAGTTTGCGAGCATAATCCTTGGCCAGTGTGGCTTGGGCGTGCTTAAACGTTGTGTACGGGCTTCCGGCGGCGTCAAACCGAGTCTCAAACCCCGCTGACGAACTGACGACGATGATGGAACCCGACGTCTTTTCAAGATACGGCCTCGATGCGTTTAATAGCATGACGAGGCCGAGGATGTCGCCCTAGAAGCTACTTTTCCAACTTTCCGCCGTGGCTTCGGTGCTAAACGAGGCCGCTATGAGATGTTCTTGGTCGGGGTGTAGGGGGTTCGATTGGCATGGGAGGCATCTGTCATAGCGTTGGCTACGACGACGAAATGCCCACGGAAGTGCCAGAGGGCGTACCGCTTGCGTTGCTATTTTTCAGAAAGGCGTCGAAATCATGGTCTGTGGCCGACCTGGCGCAACGCGAGACGTTGGCTCCCTGCGCGAGGAGAAGCTCGACAATGGCTCGCCCGGTGCCCTTTGTAGCGCCCGTTGAGATGGCAATAGATACCCCAAGTCCGCTATGTAAGATCCTGAGACGTCATGGCAGTTTTTGTATTTACCAGTGACCAGGGCGTGCTTGCCCTCCAGTTGCGTTGAGAATGAAGACATGACGGAGTGAAAAGTTTTACGCAGGGGTTTGAGGTATATTTGAAAAAAAATGGAAAAAAAGGTCGACTGTATTTATTTAGATTCAAAGCAGGTGAGAGCCTATTATGAATATCAAGTCATTTCTGCAACGACATTATCGCATTTTATGTGGTTCGTTGTACAGCCCAGAGCAGCGATACTATTGACAAACTGCCACTCCAACAAAGCTTCGTGCTTGCGGACTTTGTATTTCTCATTTTCCGGTTTGGGCTGGCCAGCTAATGCAACAAGGACTCTTCTGGATATGCTACCAAGATAGTTATTCGACTATACAGGGACCTTGTCTAACTCTAAGCTCCATCTGCCGGCGACTTTGTTGTAGATTTGTAATTTCACCGGCGTTGGAAACTCTGTCAAATCTCATTTTCCTATTTGGGAAATTATCGGCCTTTGTCCTCCGCTCCGCTCCGCCCGGGGGGGACCTAAATGCCGGAGGCCCCGGGGCATTTCTCAGCTACACCACCGGAACCAGACACTTTGTGCATCAAGACTGACACGAACCAAGTGATTTGAAATCCGCGACGGCAGGACGGCCACGATGACCAACGAGTTGGCCGAGCTGCGGCTACGCCTCGATGCGATTTACTCAACACCCGGGGACTCACACATAGAAGGACCGACTAGCCGTACAAGAGTTGCGGCTGTGGTTCGGGGAACAGGCAATCTGCCCAGGCTCGAGAGCCAGTATCTGCAGTTTTTAGAATACGCTCTCCGGCTGTACTTGTCTCTTCTGTGGCCATCGTCTCTTTCGGATGACGTGGCAAAGGCGGCTTTACTGAAAGGACCAAGGAGGTCTTTGGGAGAGCCCCGGGGGAGGTTGTCTTCGGCGGTGAACTTGACGGCATGGCAGTTCTTTGTTGGCGCAGTTGCGGCGCGTGATTTTCCAGAAATGCAAACCTGGTCTGTATTGTGCTTCAGGAGGATTTTGGAATCCATCCGGATACATGGTTGCCAGAAGATGTTGGTGGTGCTTGCGAGGACTTTCATGTCGGACGCACGGCTACTGATGCGATTTGGCAGCGTGTACCTGCATTAGCAGTCGAAGTGGACTCGTCGGTGAGATTAACCACATTGAGCTGCAGTATTAGTTTCAATCATTTCAAACAGGTGAAAGACATGGAGAGCGGTGCTCGGCTTCTGACAGGCGTGGGCTCGGGGTGACCGACGGCAATCTTAAACTCGTCAGATGGAATGACACACCGTCAGCTCTCAGTCCAAACGACGGCGCTCGGCTGGGACAAGAGCCGGGGTTATTTGAGCGAGCCAGACGGTCATTTAATAATCTCGTGGTTGGTCGTGTTGAGCCCGCAACTGACTGCATGTCGACATGATTCTCGCTGGGCGGGTTAATATTACGAGCGACGCCCGCCATGGCAAAGACGTGCCTGGACCACTTGACGATTCATGCCCAGACCTTTGGCGAGTATCAGAGGGACGGGACGTGGAGGGAGATTTGCCCGTGAGAGGAGCTTCATTGATAATGACAGGGGGCGATATATCATGGGTCGGTCGCCGAGAGGCGGAACCCAGAAGTCGTCCAGGTCAGTGATCTGGATGGCGAGTTTGAACAGATTCACTAGCGTGTTTGTCATGATGTAGCCAAGTCGCTCGGTCAGATGGACCAAGACACTCGGTCACAGAAGCTCTCAGAGAGACGCTCATAGAGACACCCACTTACTCGGCCCACGGGAGGTGGTACGGTGTTTGTGTACAACACGTCAAACTGCCGGACCAGCAACTTGTTACGTACCGAGTAAGGTGAACAGTTTCCAGCTTGTATCACACCAATACTCATTGTCGCCATGTTTGTGTGGGGGATGTTGCAATGCCAACCCGGGCCAGGGTCCGATTACACCATCCTGTCAAAAGTGGATAAATGTCGACAAGGGAAAAAAATAAAACAACAGGCGAGAGGGAAACTCTGCACAGTAAAACCGTCTTTTGCTTTGCGCAACGCTCATCCGCGGTCCTCTGTGTGCGACGGGAGCCGATCCATTCCTGGTCTCGTCGGGCGGGAGTTGTTGGAAACGCCGTCTCTGCAATCTCTCGGCGCGCGCGCGCAATTGGGAGTTTTTGATTTTCAGTCGGGAGGCGCATCTTGCCATGGCGTTCAGGAGCTTCATTGCCCGCGCGAAAGGCACCGGGGGCCACCACGGAGCCATCGTGGGCAACAACACCAAGAGCTATGGGACGACGACGACGACACCAACGGCTGCGGCGGACCTGGCCAACGACGCGGGCTTCTCGTCAAACGTTGAGCAGCAGGATGCCGCCCCGGGGGTCATCAGAACGACTTCAGGCCCGCCGCTCGGATACGACGCCGCCGCCGACGACGACGACGACCACGGCGGCGATCTCGTCACGGCCGGCGGGGGGGGCCGCAATCTCAAGCGCGGGCTGGCCGAGCGCCATCTGTCCATGCTCGGCATCGCGGGTGCCATTGGAACGGGCCTGTTTCTTGGACTTGGCGGCGCCGTCCAGCGCGGAGGTCCTCTCGGTGCCTTGCTGGGCTATGCCACCGTCGGCCTCGTCGTCTGCGCCGTCCAGTTTGCCCTGGGAGAGGTCGCGGCGCTGCTCCCCGTCACGGGCGCCTTTGTGCGGCATGCCGAGTTTCTCGTCGATCCGGCCTGGGGGTTTGCCATTGGGTGGAATCTGGTCTACGGCAACATCCTGTCCATCCCCTCGGAAATCACCGCCATCTGCGTGCTCTTTGAGTTCTGGACCGACGTCAACCCTTCCGTCTGGATCGTCACCTTCATCGTCCTGACCCTGGTCGTCGGCATCTCGTTTGTCCGCATCTTCGGCGAGGTCGAGTTCTTCTTTGCCGTCTTGAAGATTCTTCTCGTCGTCTTCCTCATTGTCCTCGGCCTCGTCATCGATCTCGGCGGCGTCAGGGGCACGCCGCCCGTCTACTTCAAGTACTGGGACGACCCGGGCCCCTTTGTCGAGTACATTGCCGCCGGGAGCTGGGGCAAGTTCCTGGGCTACTGGAGCGTCATGACGGGCGCCGTCTTCTCCTTTGCGGGCGTCGAGTCCATCGCCATGGCCGGCGCCGAGACCAAGAACCCGCGCAAGGCCATTCCCGCCGCCTGCAAGAACGTCTTTGTCCGCATTGTGCTGTTCTACATGCTGGCCATTCTCATTGTCGGCATGCTCGTGTCGAGCCGGGACAGCAGGCTGGACAATGAGAGCGGCGACGCGGCACAGAGTCCCTTTGTCATTGCCGCCTCGGCCGCCGGCATTCCCGCCATCCCGTCTGTTGTCAACGCCGTCGTCATCACCTCGGCCTGGTCTGCTTCGAACCAGAGTCTCCTGGCGGGAACCCGTGTGCTGTATGGCCTGGCCGTCAAGAAGCAGGCGCCCAAGGTTTTCCTGAGGACCACTTCCTGGGGTGTGCCCTACGTGTGCGTCTTCCTCTTCATCACCTTTAGCCTCCTCAGCTTCATGAGCCTCTCAAACGATGCCATCACTGTGTTCTGGTGGCTAGTGAACTTGACCGCCGCTGGCGTCTTGGTCTCGTGGATTTCCATCTTGATCAACCACATACGCTTGCGCTTGGCCATGAAGGAGCAAGCAATTCCAATTACTAGGCTGCCCTGGTGGAACTCCTGGACATGTAAGTACCTCGGCCACCTTGAAGGAAAACGAATTGCTGCTGATATAACCCCGAGTGTACTCGTCGTATTTCGCGCTCTTTATGTGTATTGTTATCCTCCTAACAGGCGGCTTCGCCGTCTTCACCGAGGGCAATTGGAACGCTAGCAACTTTGTCTCTGCGTACCTGTACGTTGATGTCGCCTCCCTAGACCTAAAAACTTGGTTTGCTAACCCATCGTAGCGACATACCACTTGTTTTGGCTGCGTATTTCATCTGGAAGTTTGTGAAGAAGACCAAGATTGTCGCACTGGCCGATATTCCCCTACAACGGGCACTTGAGCGGGCGGACCAGAAGTATGAGTCCCTGGCGTCGTAGAAAGCGACTCGACTTATAATGACGAATTTTGTATATACCGATACTTGACATAGAGAAGTGATTTTCTTATCATGTCGTAAAAAAGCTATCATCAACTCGAGGGCTATCAATGGGTCCAAGATGAAGACACCGCGAGACATGGCTCAGTCGGCTGTCTCGAGTTTCTGTCTTGGAGCTGTAGCGCTCATCTCGGGAGCTTGTTGCAGTTGCGGCGTTTAAAGACCAAAAAGGGTCCATGTCATTGAATGATCTCCAGGCTTGGTACACTTATTGCCAGTCCGAGTTCCTCGCTAAGAAGGATTGATGTCTCCTTCAATTCTTACATGCTCGCCACTGGGACTATAAGGAGCCGTGGTCTTGCTGCCTTTTCGAAGAGGTTACTCTTCAAGACACTAAAAGACACTATATTGGTGGACAACTTGGGACATGTAAGACGGCAGCCGCAAAGTTCCCCAGCGAGCGATCTAGAACATGCTCTCTCAATATACATGAACCTAGAATGACACGAGCGTCAGCGACTGTGGAACCCTAGCGTCCTCATAGATACTCATGACTAGCCTTTGTTGCGTTCGGATCAATGAGAATAATCTTCCGCCCGTCATTTATTGATTCAAGACTGTTCGGACCAAACCGGTCGAGTCGCCGGCAAAAATATCGGATTACATGGCGGCTTGAGATCTCATGTCGGGCCGCAAGACATTTGTCAAATCCTCAGCATTGGATTATGTCAGGTTAATTTGCGAGCTTCATTGGCTTGCCCGCAACAGGTGTGTGTCGTAAATGATATGTTTGGCTGACGACGGCGTTTCAAGAAGAAGAATTCTATACGATGTGTTGAGCGGATGATACTTTTGGTCATACCACAAGCAAAATTACTATAAGACTAAGCTGGAGCATGAAGTGCTAGCCGTTGCTAAACAGCACATGATGCCGGGAGTATAAAGTGTTGTCTCTTTGAGATTGACACCAGATGTAGCTTTGTGAATTAGCCAAGACCGAGGTTATATACCTAGGTACATGTAGCTAGTTGGTTGGTTTAAGCACCATTCAAGTAGATATCTGGGAGTTCATCGTTGCTCTCACGGCGTTTCCCTTCTCAAGATAGCTTGTTGCCACATAAAAGACTTGGATCCTTGCTTTTTATCCCGGTCCGAATCTGGACCCTAGAACCGGGTGTACAATTTGGCGCGCTTGATGAGCTGAAAAGTGAAAACAATAAACAACCATGGCATAAACGCAACCAATCGGCACTTTAACGGTTTCTGACTACCGTGAAAGTAGTAGAAGCATCTTGCATCTTTATTCCCCTCCAAGGTACCACAAAGTCAGCGGCTAATCCTCACAAGATGAACCTGGCAGTACAGATGCGGCAGAGATTAATCGTTATAGCGGCAGTTTCGACCACACACGAACCTCTCTGTTCTTGGTCACAACGATATTATGTGGAAATACGGACAAATGTCTGAATGCGGTGAGGTTGTGAAGCTGGAAGTTGACGATGAAGTTGGTGAAGACAGAGGTAAGCGATTCTGGTTCCCTGCTGGACATCGGTTTCTGACGGACTTTGGAGGGCTCGCCTGTAATACGACAAACTCCTCTTCCTATAACGGCATCCCAATTGATGTGATGGATGACTTTCTTTCCCCTTTCTGCATGCATGATCACCCTGACAGCTTCCTGCTGGTGGTAATCAGTATTGAGAAACCTACTTGTTCATATTCAAGGCCGGATAATCGGTATCGGCACTGAATTCGCTAGCTAATGCAGCTATAAAGAGGAATGAAAGTCGTGAGCCATAAAGTAACTACATTCTTTAACACGAACCTGGAAACGGTAGTCTCCGACGTGATAGTCGTCATCAAAATTACCAAAACACTTGGGATCTAATTTGTGCAAATGTAAGCGCAGAAGATGCCGCATTCTACAATATAGTTCTTCGTAATATTCACGATGAATATGCAAAGTTAATGCGCACCCGTATCGTAGCCTCTTGTCCGCACGTTGGAAGGCTCAAAGGAGTTGCATGAGACGGCTCGCGAAGCGACCAAAGCTCTCGACACCGCCCATATCAAGCTCTACTCGTGTTGAGTTGTTTCAGCTTGTTAATCACGTCAATGCAAAAGATTTAAGAAAACACCCAAGTTGTGTATCGTGAATTCCAGCGTTGATTGACCAATCTACACCAAAAGTTCATCGATAATGGTTGCAAAGTTGGCGATCCAAATCCGAAAGCAACATTCTCATTCAAAACCGAATGAAAATTCAAGAAGCCTGGGTGTTTCGATAGTCAAATTATCCAAGACTCTCATGAGGAGATACCACAGCAAGAGCTGGCAGGAATCCCGGAAGGTCTCATGGCTCGATTAAACCGGATTGAGGAAACCACGGAGGGTAGTACTGAGTTGTGGTACGCAGAAGTTGATGATCATTAGGAAGAAAACTATGAATATCGTGAACAGCGGGTTTCCCAATAACTTGGAGCATTTTCGGCGCATTGATCTGCTTTGCGATGAAACCGCTCGCGTGTTAAGCTCTCGGCATTACCTGGACTCGTCTACACCTACGAATTTGTGTACCTTGTGCTCGACCAGCTCGTCGGAGATCGGAGCTCATGACTTCGCAGAATTCCTCGGGCCATTTCTAGCTAGAAAGTGGCAGACAAGCGCGACGCTGTGTCTGGCAGTGACGCAAAGTTGTATCCGTGGCACCGAGTATATTGCCCCAACAGGCAAACGAAGACCGTCCGACTAGATCAGGACGGAACCCTGCAGTACTTTGAACTCTGATTCAGACTTTTGAATTAATTTCTAAAATATGCTATGACCTTCTGGATACCTGTTGCAAGCGTATTCTTACCGATCAACAGCACCAGATTGGAGCCGGTGACCATCTCATACGGCATACGGACGTTCTCATGCACAAGAGAAGAAAACCCACCCACCTGCGCTTCCCCATTTTCTCTTCGGGATACGCCTTTATCAATTTCATCTCTTTGAGGACTTGAGACAGGGAGTACACAGCCCTTGTGGCGGGTGAGCGGAGTTTGACAGCTCCATATCAGACGGAGATGTGACGGACATGCTGATTGAAACACACAGAGTCTCGAAAAGCCTGAGGACTCCAATTTTCTACCCATTTCCGAGCACGCTGACAGCAAACAACGGCGCAATACTCCCTACTTATCATGGGCAATCCGCAGGTGGTGTCGTCTCATGAGCTGGGCCACCTGGTCCGTAGCCTGTGAACAAATACCAAACATGCGTGCCCTTGTCGACGCACCTATTATAATACTCGAGTGGCGGGCATGACATGTGGTGACGAACCGAGGGTGGAGTCGCGGAAATTTTATGTAGGATTCTTTCCGACAATTACGAGGGAGGATATTATTCGTCTAGTTTGTGAGATGAGCCTCACGGTGTAGGTAGATTCTATACCGTGCCAACAATCCCACAGATGCCTCAGAGTACTTGCACATCTTCGTGTACTGCTTCGCCATGTATGTTGAAAACAAAAGAAGCGGCCCGCGGGACAAGATTCCACTGTCAGCGAGAGGAGGCAAGATAGACAGAGTTGCAGACATTCACGGATCTCGCCGGCCGGGAACAAAAGGTGGATGCATTCTTATCGTGGCTGGGGTTGTAACAACCTCACCTTGTCAGTCCACTTTACCGTCGCAACCAGGTAAGAGATCTCTCTGTCAGTAGACCTGGTGGATATTTCACAAGCGAGTCTGAGGTCCATTATGGAGAACGGTCAGCACGAGGTAACTTGTGAGGCCTTGCTCTTGTGTAGTTGTTGACTGGCGTTCCTCGCCCATGTTACGACTTGTGACAAGGCCTTGATATCAAGGGCTTGGAGTCGAATGACTCTATTAAATAGTAATCTTGTAGGATGTCAAACATCCTTGGTTTTCCAGGAGAAAGGAAGGGACCAGTAACCACTATATATACATGAAAGAAACAACTGTGCCCAAGGCTCCCAGCGGGTCATATGTTCAGTCTGTGTAACCTCTAGGTCCTGTATCGGCGATGCCCCTTTGTTGGGCGGTGAGGTTGTTGAGCTTTAACCGTGTAACACGACTTGACTCTCACACTGATGCGGGTGACTAGGACACCTGAAAATGAAGTCTTCTGATTCTGATTCACATGCTTAGGGCTAGTTGACTCATTTTATTTTATCATGCTTCATGATGAACGCGTGACAGCAATATGATCCGGAGCATCTTCCATTTTTGCCTCGTCATTGGCATTGTCCAGGGTGAGCTTGTCATCACTTTAGTGTCAGACTGAGTCGAGCTGGCCCTGTTGACTCGCCTCATCCGGGACACACTGACTGTAGCTTTGAGGCACTCGTTGACAAGCTGTAAGTTTCCGGTTCTCCGAACAATTAACTGAGAGCCATAAGCCATCCTGTAACGATTGGCAGCTATGGATAGCACTGAAGGTAGGACTTGTCCTTGATTGAATCTATCCAATTGGGGAATCGAGGCCTCTTACAGCCAAAACTGATCAAAAAGGATGTTTTTCGTTGTCAGCTTGTCAGATGGAAGTTTGTTGCATTAACGCTTCATAGCTACCTAGGTAGTTTTGACCTCGTTGAGGACATCTTAATGATACGAATGATGATTCACAATGGACAATATTCCAATCCACAGGATTGACTCCCCATGGATAACCTCTATTGAGAGTAGCTTCGTGTACCAGGTCTCTCAGCTGTAATTCTTCGAGATTAAAATATGCAGTCGACTAGATGCGGCTTCGCATGAATTGATCCTTCCAAAACATGTGCGGCGGCCGGGACTCTGTTTGAAATTGCATTGACATCCGAGTCACGAACTGCTGCCTCCGGTGGGCTACACATCGAAGACAAATGGCAACTTTCAAGGAGGAAAATATGTCTACCCGACGATTTTGTATCCTGACTAGGATTGAAAAGGTCAAGTAGCTGCGAAGATGGTAAAACAGGGGAGGAGGTCAATGTTAAAGCAGAAGGCACCTGGGCTGGGAAAACATGACTTCTAGCAGACGCAACCATGCCCCAGCTGATCAATGGCATAATAATGATGAGGCTGGATGAGCTGAAACGCTAGGGCTGATGAAGCTTGGGGCTTAAGAGGCCAAGGCTACATCATGGTGGGATGAAACATTATTATGGCGACCAGATGGGTTTTACCAAGGGGACTTGGATGGGCGCATCATTGACACAAAACATGAGCTTCTTTGTTCGCCAATGTTTGGATCACCATAATTTGGGCCCCAATACAAAGCCGCGTGGTGAGGAGTCCTCCATTGAAGATGACGGCGAGTGCATAAATCGGGATTGCGAGTCTCCGACCATCCGGGCGATACCCTCAAGAGTGGCGCCAGAAAAATCAACTTCGTGATGGGTTTTTGAGTTGCAATTGAAAGAACATTGATGGACGCAACGTTGTATGGTGTCTGTGTCACGGCTCACGGCTCATCTCACAGCTCACAAAATCCACAACTCACCCCTCACCTCTCACACCTCATTTTGGTAGTGGGATGATGGCTAAGCTTACGTAACCAAAAACACGCAATGTCCTCGCCGCTCCTGCCCACCCGTGTTTGCATGGACGCTTGTAATCATCTTCTTTGAACTCCATACTCGGTAGCGATCAAGGGCTTTCGTTATAGCATCAAGGCAACGAGCATCCTTTCTGCCTGCCATATACAGAGTCTCCCAATCATCTAGCCAAGGCGGACCCTCCCCCCCTTTAATCGCGTGACAATCAGCATTGACGGAGCTGAGCTGCGGCTGTTTTCCCAAACGAGGCGAATTGACGACAGAAAACTAATAATACGCATCTAGGTGCTGGAGAATAGCTACCAAGGGGGATCGACAACATTCGTGACGATGTGGGACGTTTCATCGTCGTCTGCAAAACCCTACTATCCCGGGTTTGACTGACGCCTCCTGTCGCAAGTCTGGATTAAGCTGTCACGGATCGGCCCCCATCCCCATCCCAGCCACAGACGGCCATGCCTAACCACCAGATGCGCCAGAAAGGACGAGGATACTACTGGTCGAATTTTGCCCTCCTGCAACAATTCACCATGGGTCATAATGTCCGAGATCAATATCAAGTTTCATCTGGCTGGTGTCGAGAGGAACTCACATCAGACCAACCGAAACCCAGATCTGCGTTTGGGCTTGATTAACTTATATAAAGGCGCCGCGATGGCCCGATCCCAAAAGGTCTTGGTGGGATCCCATTCACACTTACTTCATCCCGAAGAATAACTGGCAATAGTCGACCTGGAGTCGATTTGTTTCTTTCGTCTTATTTTTTTGTAATCTTTTTTCACAGCTTCTGTTTAATAGCGCCACGAGTTGCCATTAATTTGTACTTAAAAATTTCCATTCAATTTTTAGACAATTTATTTTCTTGCCAGACCTGAAGATGGTTCGCGTGGCCTTTGTCTCTCTTCTTTCATGTAAGTTTCGCAACATGACTATATCTATATCTCTAAATGTATATTACGTCTCGGCTTTGGCAACTGACTCTTCTCCCGCTTAGTGGCCGTGACGGCTTACGCTGCCGCACTTGACCCTTCCGAGTTGAAGAACGTCGGTGCTGGAAACGGCAAGCAGTTTATCACCGGCAAATGCCTTAGCAATGCCGATTGCTCAACTAATTGCTGTGCCGGGCTCAACGGCGGCGGCGTCTGCTCTGCCCTTTCCGTTGCCACCGCCGCCGGCAAGACTGGTTGTGGATTTGTGGGCAACAACAGTGCTGCTGGTGGGCAGAACAACGGTGCTGCTGGGAACAATCGCGGCGGGGGCGGCAACAATGGAGGAAACGGCGGCGGCAACAATGGAGGTAACGGCGGCGGCAACAATGGAGGTAACGGCGGCAATGGAGGAAACAGAGGCGGCAACAGAGGCGGCGCTGGGGGTGACGGGGCGCAAAACTTCGGTAACGGGCAGGGCCTGCAGTTTATTACTGGCGTATGCCAAAGCGATGCCGATTGCATGTCTGGATGCTGCGCCAAGACGACCAAAGCCTGTGCCGCCCCGGGCGCTGTTGGCCCGGATAAATGCGGATTCGTCGCCTAGAGCAACGGCTTCGTTGGGTGCGGGCGACAATAACTGAGGCGGACGGGGCGGCCAAGGCGGTCAAAACTGAGGATTCTCAGTAAACATACTTGGTGGCGATTCCAAACTTTGGTGGGATCATGTAGCACCTGGAGGAAAGGCGGCCGACTGAATTGTACACTTGGTGCAAAGTCGAGCCCCATGCCCAAGGATGCCAAGGAGCACCTGTCACATATTTCTATCCAAATTGTATGACAGTTCGAATATATCGTGTTAAACAAGGCCAGACTAGTAGTTGGTTCATGCGTGATGCTGCTTCTGTTCAGTCGAGTCTTGAAGCAGCCATCTACTCTCATAGCCGCCGAAAGCGATATAGAGGTTGTCGTCGCGCAGTCTTGATGATGCGTTCATACGTTCCTGTCGCCGCCTGCAAGCTCAAAAGCCATTCGGGGCCGTTGTACCGGAATCCAGGGACTGCATAACAAGGTTGGAGGACGGTCGGCATTCGTTCTCGATTCGGCACACAAGCGTAGTGCCATGGCAACACCAGACAGCTTTTGATTCGTTGCCCAGATTTGTGGATTATTTAGATCCGCCTCTTGCTGGATTTGATCACCGAACAAGTGCATCGCGAAAACACACATCGTATGCCAATTGCAGGGCCTGACCATGCCCTCCCTTGCTTATATTCGGCGTCGGCTTACGCCCATCAGCAGTAAATCCCACCCAGGCGTCTCGTGGACAAGAGCAGAGGCTAAAATCCACACGACCTTCCCGATCGGTACTGGCTGACCGTTGACTAGGATGACCGGGAGGCTGGGATCTTGATCTATTATGCCACTTGCCAGCAGTTCATCCTATGGATGGGAGGATGGATGTGCGCTTTGACGCCATCTCGGTACCACAAGATTTACACGGGGGGCTCGGCTGAGATCTAGGAAATCGGCCCATCTGGTGCTTTCTTTGGTCCACGTACAAAATGTCGCCTCACAGGTCTGTCTCAGCTTGGCCCCAAGATGCTCCAGTGGCACAGAAAAACGACTCGACGGCCTCAAAAGGAAGCATCATTCATTTTTTCCTTTCAGAGGATGGATACCCAGTGGCAGCTCATCGTGGCGCTCTCTGATGTTCCGTTCGCAGCTCGCTCCGCCTGCCCCAACTTCAGCTCGACCGACAGAGGCTCGCAACCAATACACGCCAAAGGCAGGCATCTCACAGCTTCAAAATGGGCCATCGCTTACTTTGACCAAGTGGAGAGGCCATCCCTTCGGAGAGTCGGGGAGGGCCGCTTCATCCCCAGACAATCGCCGCCAGGGGAGCTGGCCACTAGGACGCCGATCCACGACCACGACAACTCTCGACCTTCCAAGATGCGCAACCTGAGCCAACTCCCCCCACCCTCACATGGCATAGATAAGGACCTCTGAGTGGTGCGAGTTTGGCGGTGTCACAGCCCTCGGGGAGCTAGGAGGCGTCGGACAAGACTATACGATGTATCGTGTTTGTGTTCAGCAACCGAGCTGACGGCAGTTTGGCCAAATTGACTTTTTGACTTCAAGGGCCGCGCACCAAGATCGACAGTTGCCATTCTAAGAATGGATTCGGTGCCACAGGATTGTGTGTATCTGAACTTGGTGTCGGTGCCTCTCTCGGCCGACTGCGGAAGAGGTCTCGCATTATAAAAACGACGCCGGATCCTCCATCAAGTCCGGCTCGTGGCATCCGTGCTTGTCGACAGAGTTTATTTCGCAGTGTTGCCGCTGGTCCGTCTTTGCCGCCTTTGCCTTGAGACGCTTATATTCATCATCCATTGCTCGGCATCCGTCAAAATGCACTTCTCCATCGTCGGCCTCCTATCCCTGGTTGCCCTGATCAGCGCCGCGCCTGCGAATCTCCAGGCTCGGGATGCTACCAACTGCGGCGGCGTCCAGTACACCGCCGCTGCTGTCCAGGCCGCTGCTAATGCTGCTTGCCAATATGTCGAGAGCGGCAGCCATGCCGGATCCTCGACTTACCCTCATCGATATAACAACTACGAGGGCTTCGACTTCCCCGTCGACGGTCCCTACAACGAGTTCCCAATCCTCAAGTCTGGCCGAATCTACTCTGGTGGTATGTCTTGGGGCCGTGACAAATACTCTGTTCGATTTCGTCTTGGGGGTTATCTACTGACTTGCTTGACAGGCTCCCCTGGCCCTGACCGCGTTGTCATCTCTGATGGTTGCGACCTTGCTGGCGTCATCACCCACACTGGTGCTTCTGGAAACAACTTTGTCGCCTGCTCCGGCACTTCGTAAACGGTCTTTTTTTATATCTTTCGTCTTCACTGGGCGAAGCCGAGGTTCTATGGTGTGAGACGGTTATCAACCGCTGCTATCACTTGCTCTCCTTGATCTGTACATATGTTCTCTGACAAGGGCCGGGAGTCCTTGATGTACATGAGCACTTCAATTTAAATAAGAGTATATTCTGAGAAGACTCGTCCAATCGACTCGTGAAATCGATTCCCGATATATGTCTGAGGACGCAGCGCATTCCCCATGGTGCCCAGCAGTATGTCGTGCTCCAAGACAAATCGTCGAATGATGGAAGCCAGTCACGGCATCTCCCAAATTACCCCTTTCGGCATGTTCCACCATATACAAGCAACATACGGTGTCCATCACAGCAGGGGTGAGCGGAAGCTTACAAAGCCGATGTGCATGGCAATTCCAACTGCCCCTTTCGTAGAGCCGCCAATGTGTAATATTAGCGTTCCACGCGACGTGCCGGGGAACCATTGGATAGGCTCCAGTAATTGTCAAAAAAAGGCAGACATGTTTCCCAGAGTGCCCAGCAGTCACACATCAAGAGGTGTGATGAAATAGGCACCCAACCATGCAGAAGCAAATGATGGATGTAGAGCCGCCGCCAATAATGTACAGACAGGCAGCAGCGTATGGCCGTATCGTCATCAAGAATAATCATCAACCTTCACATGGGCACCTTCCCAACCCAGGTTATTGAAAATTACCGGCAAAATCTCCGACATGGACGACATGGATTGAGCATGGCCCAGATATTGGCCGGGCTGCTATCCACGAAGCAGGGCTGTCTTTATTTCTTGTCGCTACACGTATCGGCACAGGAGAAAAAAGCAAAACAAGAATGTTGATACCACTTTTCGGTGTCCCATTTTCCAAAGTCGACCGTCGCAGTATAGCCACATGAATCCCGCGGGATGTGCAGCTACCCTATACTTCCTAATCCGGAAACCGGGTGAGTTTATTGGCAGCTTCATGGGTGAGAACCATGAACACATATATATACTGTGAACGAGCCACATACTCGGTAACAAGCTTCCCTTTCAAGATTCAAGGTAGCCGTGAAAGCGACTCATGCCTCACAAGCAACTGCCTCACGTGCCGAGACGGGGTCTCTGGCTGTGGCACCCAACAAATCCCGTGTGCCGCCTCTGCACGAGCCCCAAAGCGGCCGGAATGATGGTGTCGGGCAGAAACATTGGTCACGGGAAAAGGAGCTCCTTGGCTTTTTAATATCGCTAAATATTGTCAGGCCGTCCCCACAAGTTTTTCCAGGCAATAGCGTTAGCCGTCGGCGTTGGTGCTACCAGTCGACCAGTTGGACAAGGCCGGTGGTCTGACCAGAAAATAACTGAAATTTCGAGGCTGCCTAACAGCAAACTCCGGATCCAGCGTCGCGTTCCCCGTTCCCCGTTACCCTGGGCACCAGGCTGCGAAATTCGCTTCACAGAAAAATCCACTGCGAGGTCGGCGGCTCGCAATTTCCCATCTTGTTATTTAATTTTCGCCTGTTTCCTCAAGACGCGGCCGGCTCACGATTTGCCATCTGCTTGCTTGCTGTCCCTTTGAATTCGTCGCGGGGCCACCGGAACCAGCAGCCATGCCTGAGATTGTGAGTCTCTCGCGTTACGAACCTGCCGTCCTCCCTAACTAACCTATGACGTAATTGTCCATCCATAGGTTCATCTCCAAGTCGGCCAGTGTGTAAGCCAGAGCCCCCAGAGTTACACTTTTGCTGGATATCATCTAACGCCATGTAGGGCAATCAAGTTGGCACCGCCTTCTGGCAGACAATCCTAGGCGAACATGGCTTGGACAACAACGGACTGTACGTGACTCGCAGACGTCTATATCGGCTGGTCGGCCAGCAGGAACGCTAATCTGTCATGCCCTGCCTAGGTATACCGGCGATTCTCGAGTTCAGCTTGACCGTGTAAATGTCTACTTTAACGAAGTACGCAGTATGACACTTGCCCCCGTCACTCTTTCAAAAAAGGGCACATCCTGACGCGCCATTTCTCATGTTAGGCGTCGGAGAAGAAGTATGTTCCACGCGCCGTGCTCGTCGACTTGGAGCCCGGTACCATGGATGCGGTTCGAGCTGGGCCGTTGGGCAGTCTCTTCCGCCCAGATAACTTTGTTTTCGGACAGTCATCTGCTGCCAATAACTGGGCCAAGGGTCACTACACTGAAGGCGCAGAGCTGGTTGAAGAAGTAGTTGACGTGGTCCGTCGTGAGTCTGAGAGCTGCGACTGTCTTCAGGGTTTCCAGATTACCCACTCCCTTGGCGGTGGTACTGGTTCCGGAATGGGCACTCTGTTGTTATCCAAGATTCGAGAAGGTATTGATTGACCCATCATCATGGCTGGGTGGCTTGACGCATCGGGGGGCCCGCTAACGATTCGGTTGTACCAGAGTTCCCTGATCGCATGATGGCCACATTCAGTGTGGTGCCGTCCGCTCAAACATCGGATACCGTCGTGGAGCCGTACAACACAACTCTGTCGATTCACCAACTGGTTGAAAACTCGGACGCCACATTTTGTATCGACAACCAAGCCTTGTACGATATATGTCAACGAACGCTCAAGCTCTCCAACCCATCAACTGGTGACCTCAACCACCTGATCTCGACAGTCATGTCTGGAATATCTACTTCTCTGCGGTTCCCAGGCCAACTGAACTCTGATTTGAGGAAGATTTGTGTCAACTTGGTGAGTGCGGTCTGTGTCGTCTGTAAGATGTTCAAACATGGAGCGTCAGTATCCTGAACAATATTTGCGAATCACAGCCCCTGGATTGTTCGTCCTGCTTCTCGAAACTGTAAATTGACGTTTCGTTACTCCTAGGTTCCGTTTCCACGTCTTCACTTCTTCATGGTGGGCTTTGCTCCCCTGACAGCTCGTGGCAGCCATGCATTCCGATCTGTCACGGTGCCCGACTTAACACAGCAGATGCTAGACCCTCGAAACATGATGGCGCAATCTGACTTCCGTAATGGCCGCTTTCTGACATGCTCGGCCATGTTCCGCGGCAAGCTCTCCGGCAAGGAAGTGGAAGAGCAAATGCGTAAAGCCCAGGACAAGAATTCCGCCTATTTCGTGGATTGGATCCCAAATAATGTTCAAACATCGCTGTGTACCGTGCCGCCAAAGGGTTTGAAGATGGCATCCACATTCATAGGAAATTCTACTGCTATCCAGGACATCTTCAAGCGGGTCGGGGACCAATTTGCCGCCATGTTCCGTCGCAAGGCATACCTACACTGGTACACTGGTGAAGGTATGGACGAGATGGAGTTTACCGAGGCTGAGTCGAATATGAACGACTTGATTTCCGAGTATCAGCAGTATCAGGAGGCTACTGCGGGTGATGACCAGGAAGGAGATTATGATGAGGCTCCCCCTGCTGAGGAGCATCTGCATCAAGACTGAGGGCGGAGGGAAAGAGAATGGACAAAATGTTGGCAAAAGCAGGTGATTAGTTAGTTACATGGACTTTTCGCGGTGGTAATATCGAAAATACTGCAGAAAAATGTTGCAATGACAAATATGCGCTCGCAGTATTTGGAGTGTTTCTTTCACAACTGGCAACCAAGGCTATGGCAGTTGCACGTATTTTCTGACGGTGAGAGATATTCTGGAAGCCAACCACGAATTGCCCTTGGCTTTGTGGGAGCGGTAAGCTTGGTCCTGAGAGAAGCTTGGTTTCCGATGTACGATTGACGTTAAAAAAGGTCAATAAATACCCGCAATATTCTACATTCATTATGAGTTTGGTTAGACAAGTTGGATTCGCGGGCCAGCGCCAAATTTGCCGCAAAATATCTCCTAACAATGATCCTAGTGATCCAGACGTGCCCCTAGTGTCTTTCTCGGCAATCTTCCTATTCGTGTCGATTATCATCCTCTGGCAGGGCTTGTGTGTTATGTAATTGGTCGTCAGATTCATTGTCACTTTGCTGCGGGCTTTCAATTGCTGTTTCCCACGTAGTTGAGCGGGAGGTCAAACACGGCCAACACCCTGCTTCCATGAGACTTTCTTGCTCTTCTGCTGTATGAGAAGCATGTTTGAATATACTTAGTAGTTCCTCAAATGCAAGAGTCAACTTTTCCGTCGCATCGGGACGCTCCTGAATTACTTTGCTGAAGTCACCGAAGGTGTATTTCTCGTCATATTTGAGGCGAAAATGATTCGTGTTCGCCAGTAAACCCATGGTTTCGAGGTCTCCATACTTGGCTGTAATTTCGAGAAGATGCGGTCCTTTGAGTCGAGGACATGTTGAATAGTGGTGCCACCGCTCAAGAAAAAGCCTCAGGACATAGTGACTATTATGCGTGATTGCAACAGTTAATGGTGTATCGCCAGTGATGGTGGCTTTGTTGATTTCGGCACCATACTCCAGAAGAAGTATGGCTAGAGAAGCGTCATTATTTTGCGCGGCATGGCAAAGGGCCGTCTTGCCGTCTACGCCGACTTGATCAACTTCGGCCCCAAAATCCAAGAGAAGTTTAACAAGGATAGGATCGTCAGACCTTCGAGCGGCAACATTTAAAGGTCCACCCTTGTTGATACCGCCAGGAAGTGGAGGGTCCGGATTTGCACCTGCATCAAGCAGGAGCTTCACACAAGCTGTATGACCCTGGGCCGAAGCATTCGACAATGGACCAGATATCTGGGAGTCTATAATGTTCGGATCAGCGCCATATCTGAGCAAGGTCAAGATGGAATGGCTATCCCCCCGGGCCGCAGCCCACGCCAAGGCTGTGCGGCCCATAGAATCTTGCGCGTTGATTTCACCAGGATGAGAAATTAGTTCTCGCTCCAAATCGCCGATCGAGAGACCGAGAATGATTCGATGTGTTCGAGTAAAATTCGACTCCTCTATGAAATCATCGAGATACTCGCTGCCGTTTGTGATGGCACGAAGAGCCCCGGCAGCGGACTCGGAAAGATTACCCTCCAGAAGGAAATGACATGCCTTGATACGGGGGCTATTATCAAATGCGCCAAGTGGTTTGTAGTCGACATCAGCGCCTGCTTGTATCAAGAATTTGCAAGTCTCATACTGTTTACCATATAATGCCCATCGTAAAATAGAATAGCCCCGTGTGGTACTTACATCACGAGGTGACGCCAATCCCTGGCGAAACAAAAACTTCAATCCGTCCATGTTTCCATTCAGAGCAAAATTGACGCATTGTGCATTGTCGGGAACTCCCCTCAAGGTACGAAGCTGCAAGGAAGGCCCCGTTGTTTGGTGGTACGAGAGTTCCATCTGTATAATATTGGACCAGAAGTTAGCTGGAAACCAGTATTCCACGCTGACTTTGCTCGACCGAGAAGCTTGACAAACGGCATTGTCACATTTTGGGCTTAAAACCGGTAATCCTGTATAACCAACAAATAAACGACCCAGCAAGTTGCTCAAAAATGCTGGCGACGAGGAGCGCTTGAGAGTGTGGCAAGAGCAGTGGCAGTCTCTCCTACATGCGTTTTCAAACGGAGTGACACGAATACCAAGGCCAAAATCAGCTTTCTGTGAGCTAATAGAAAATGTGTCAGGCGCCGCGGACCGTGTCTTTGTCTCTCTTTCGGTTCCATATGCCGACTTGACTTGGGTATACTGGCTCATTTGTAGTCTTCGTGATTGTTCTTGCAACATCTCTTCTACCCTTGCAATACGGTATTCAACCCCCGTCAGAGTGTCCATGAACTTCTCGTTTGTGACAATTTGCATTCGAGATGCTTGGGTCGTCGTGGCAGATATTGTCTGAATGTCGAGCCGAATTCTGAGCAAATCCTCGCTATTTCGGGGTTAGTCCCAATGATGACAATCCAGAGAAATTTGCGGTACGAGCCCATACGAATTTTCTGCGCCCAGCATAATATTGAGGCTGCTCTTGACAGTCCGTATGTTATCCTGCAGCTCCTTTAAGCGCTCCTGGTCCTTCCGCCAAGCATGCATCAAGCAAAGTGGTGTTTTCGATGTCAAGTAAACGCGAGTCAAATTATTGATAATGCTTTCAACTTCGTTCAACTTTAATCTGACTTGCTTCAACAGATGTGGCACTGCCGAATACTTTGATCTCGGCAGAGAGACACGGTTTTGTATCAAGTCGTTGACCTGCAGAAGCACAAGCTCAAGATCCGCCACCTCGTTGCCAACAGCGTGGATTCTGCCAGGTAAAGTTTTGCAGAGGGACCTCAAGTCTGAAATTGACAAGCATATTTTCGACGAAAAAGAAACTATGCCAGTAATACTAGCAGCCAACGAGATAGGGTCCATGATCAGGACAGCCGGTGATCTCTGCGCTTTGCCAGAATATTGAACATTGAAGGTACATAAAGGAGGTGGCTCGCCAGATACACAGGGAAAGCGGGCCCTTCCCCTCCTCAGCCATTGTGTTACCATTTACTCCGTATACAAAACGTGACCGACCAAACATTTCCCCGAGACAACATCATTCAAGAGGCTGGTTTGTCACTTCCCGAGCACCCTTGCCTAGCAAAAATATTGAGAGATTTTTAGTCATAGGTCCTTATTGACTCCCTGCGCGATGAAATTCGGTCTGTGTTTCCACCAACTCCTCATCCCAAGATGGGACGCGTACTACGTTGACTACAATGGCTTGCGGCAGAGGATCAGAGACTCTGCCCGTAAAATTGGCGCGGCTGACATGCTAGGCAAGATTCCCTGATCTATGAGCTCTTGCATATTCTAACTGTTAGAATCAGAGGTGTCTAGAGACCTTGAGGCCAATATAGCATCCGTTGAGACGTATACGTTGAGGCTCTTGCAGTCAATTACTTCTCGTGAAAGCGAAATACGCTCCAAATTTGGCCTGCCTCTGAGCCCTGTCACTTTACCGAAAATTGAAAGTGTCCATGGGCTCGAACTTCAGATTGTTCGAACTGCTTATGAAGATATACTGTCAGAACTAAAAGACCTTCGATGGTTCAATAGGGTCAATGACATGGCAATCGAGAGAATTTTCGCCAAGATTGGCAATTATACATGTGAAAAGAGTACTTTCAATCTTTTCCATTCCCGCTGGGCTGCTGTCCAGCAAAGCATAGATGGATCTTGGGCTGAGGAATTTGGAAGAGTAAATAAGCTCGTGTTCGAAATGCGCCAGCTACTCACTCAACCTAGACTTGAAACGCACTCTTGGTGCATTACTGCCCTGCTCAGCGATCGTATAACAACCCAGAATATGCATGATCAGTTGTACAGCTATTTCAAGAACGACCAACGCTCTCTTATAGAGAAGCATATCTTTTCAGAAACACCCAGTAACATCACCATGAGGGGTGATAGCAATTCGCTCGTTGGCGACGTCTTTCTTACTTCAATAATTTATTCGGCTAACAATACCGCGGCCCTCACTCTCGAAATGACGATGCGTGAAGGAATGAGCGCAAACCAAGCGTTCGCTTTTGTGAAAATATACGGCGTGGCGTCGCAGAGTTGCTTTTACCAGCTGCGTACCGAGCATTTAAATTTTGCCAGCGATCAGTTTGCAAGGTTGCTCAACGCACTTGGTCCGAAAGCGATCGACTTCATACAAAAGAGCGATGGCCAAGGATGTCTTCCTCTGCACTATGCGGCTCAATATGGCTTAGACTCGGTTTGCGAGGCTATAGTATCTCGTTTGATCACTATGGGCGGAAGTTGTGTCCACGATACGCTGATGTCAGTCGACCTTTGTGGGCAAACACCGCTCCACTGCGCAGTGGCCTCAGGGAAGCTGTCAGTGCTTGGAAATTTGCTTAGAGCATTATCGGGGATCGGTGCCCACGAACAGGCAATGTCTAATGCTCGAGTTGTTCTTGGAAGCGTCCTGGTTTTGGCAATAAGGGCACACGCCGAGGAAATGGCAAAGATGTTGCTGGAGCATAAACCGGATCTCCTCTACCAGTCTTGTCGTGGTGAGACGGCTCTCTACTGTGCTTCACAGGCAGGATACATGTCCATGGCTCACCTTCTTGTACGACAATCATCCAGGGGCGAACAAGGGATTGACGTCGCTGAGAAGACAAGAGGCTGGACACCACTAATAGCAGCATGTGCTAATGGACATGCCGAAATTGTCAGGCTTCTATTGCAGGCTGGTGCTGAACAAGACACACACGATATTCGAGGATGGACAGCTCTGGAACACGCCATATTTCGGGGACACCATGCCATTGCGGAGCTGTTTAAAACCAAGCCGCCAAATCATCCTCACGACGGACCTGCTGGTGCTATCGGAGATGTTAGGAAGGAAGCTCATCTTGTTTGTAATATAGGTGAGAAGATGCTTATTATTCATCTTGGGAGTACCCAAGGAGGACACTGTCGAGGATTGCTTCATTTGGAGAACCTCAGCTCAGATAACGGCTTTCACTCTCGCCAAGAATCTCCCATGGAGCTTCACATCTCCGTACTAGGGACCGACTCCGTTTCAAGGAAACTCCAGTTGCCAATTCTAGATGACCAATTGCATAAGCCGCTGGTTTTTAGAGTCAGTCATGACACTCCGCTGCAGATAATGCTCAAACTTTATCGCTGCGAATCCATCAACTCCAAGGTTTTAGTAAGCAGCGGTACATCAAGTCTGGATCAAGAAAGCCTGCTGGGAGGGAAACATGAGAGCCTCATCCGTGAGCGCACAATTTATATGTTAGACAAGGAGACTTCAGCTCCTGCCGGTACTGTCCTGCTAAGCTATGTTGTCGCCAAACCATTCCCAGGCTTGCCAAAACTCGGTACCAGCAATCAACTCGGACCTGAAAACGCTTCCGTTCAACTTGTTGGGCATAGAGGTACGTCGATTTATCATGAATCTCTCTCGTAGTCAAGTAATACTAACAGGAGGGCCTCTAGGATGCGGACAGAACGTATCAAGTCGGTCGTTTCTCCAAATTGGAGAAAATACGATCATGGTATGTCGAACGTAGATTCCGGCTCAGAGGCTAGTGTACTGACATTATTAGTCGTTTCTCTCTGCTGCAAATCTGGGAGCGTCATTTGTTGAGGTAGGACAATCCTTTCACTAAGCCAGATCAATGACTAACGGACTGCAGTTCGGTAAAGAGAACCCCTAAGCCAGAAGTCGCATAAACTCTAATAATCCGGTAGATCTACAGGTAACCAGAGATATGGAGGCTGTCGTATACCACGATTTCTCTCTTAGTGAGTCCGGCACAGACGTACCCATTCATGACCTCACCCTCGCGCAGTATCAACATGTTAGCAATACCCATGAACCGCAAAGCTCAGCTTTGTGCAACTCGGTAGAGAGCTCGGAGTCTTTGACGTATACCAGGAAGAAGCCACGTGCCTGGTCTTCCGGGGAAGAATCCCTGTCTAAATCGACAGAGCTGCGAAAGAGACTTGAATATACTGTGGACTTTCAGGCCAAGGGATTCAAGCCGAACAGCCGTGGTGACGTTGTTCAAGATTCCCTAACAACGCTAGAAGAGGTCCTGTTGAAGCTTCCTCTTGAGGTCGGTTTCAATATAGAAATAAGTATGTGAACATGGTCTCTTCAGGAAACCCGGAGTGATTCTAATCGGTTGGCAAGAATACCCTCGCTTACATGAAGCGGCCGAAGCTGGAGTCGCTCCAGTAGCCATTAACATTAATGACTTCATCGACGTGGCTCTCACCGCCGTTCGAAAATTTGGCGGAAAACGGCAGATCATTCTTTCATCATTTACCCCCGAAGTGTGCATTCTTCTCTCTGTCAAGCAGTCAGCGCACCCGGTCATGTTCATCACGAACGCAGGTAAAGTGCCCATGCAAGATCAGGAGCTGAGGGCTGCAAGCCTACAAGCAGCCGTGCATTTCGCCCGCTTGTGGAATCTAAGCGGGATTGTTTTTGCCTGCGAAACCTTCCTACACTGCCCGAGACTTGTTCAGTTCGTGAAGAATATGGGCCTAAAATGTGCTTCCTACGGGTTGTTGAACAATGATCCTGCAAATGCAATAGTAAGTCCTTTTTCATGTGACACTTGGCCCAATAATCTGCTGATATTGGATTGTTGGATAGGCACAGACGGTAGCCGGTATCGACATCTTGATGGCAGACAGAGTCAAACTCATCGCAGACCACCTTAGAAAACACATCGTCTTAAATAACTCTTCACCACGGCCTTGATATGAAACATGGAATTATTCCCGGGAGATGAAGTGATAAAAAGACTATTTAGATGGACCAGGAATAGACACGATCTGATATCTATTCATTACTTCTTCGAGCCAGTGAACTGTGTTGCAGTGGCACAACAGTGGCGGCCAGCCCTCAAACTGAAACCAAGTTCCCGAGTTCGACGTGCTGCCGAATTCTCCAAAGCACCTTGGAGGGAGCAAGAAGTGTCTACTGTTGACGCTGCTTTTTATATTCATGTCAAGCTGTCTTGTTTCTGAAACCATCTACTCTTTTGGAACGAGTGGTTTGTGTGCGGGTGGTGCTAATGAACAGATAGACCGCGCCACAATTGAATTGTTCGAGGGCCATTTATGAACTCCGTCGAGAACAATGCTCATAGTTTTCAAGACCTTCCCGGGGGCGTAATTTGGACTTTAACCGGCAGAATCTAGCATGCCAACACCTGTCTTTGTCTTAATTTCTTGCATAGGCGTTTCATCTGGGACAAGAAAACTGCACTCACACTCCAAAACAGGGAAAGAAATGCGTTATTACATTCCAAATATATCGGGGGGTGGACGAAATGAAAATTCCAAGATTTATCGTCTATCTGAATCTAGTTACATAGTACACTAATATAGAAATACATACGTTTAATGTTCCTCGGTGCAGGATAAGTCGCCGAGTTCCATCCCAGCCTGGGTGCCTTTCCAGGTGAACAAGGCGCAAAGCACGGGAATGAGCGCCGCCAAAACCATGCCACATCCAAGAAAGCCGGCCGTGACGCCAAAGCCAATTTGGAACGCCGGGCTATCATGCTTGGGCCAGATACGGCTTCCGTAGACACTGGAGAAGTTTCCGAATGCATTGACCAGCGCAAGAACAATCGCACGCTTCTCCGGCGGCAGACTGACCGTGTTGCTGGTCCACGACAAAATGAGCGGCAGCGCTGACCATATGCCCGCCGCCACGAAGCACACCGTGACGTAGCGAACGACTGAAATTTGCACGGCGGCGCACACTACACTGCAGGCAAATCCTAGTCCGAGAGCGCCCGTAATGTGCCAGCGTCTATCGCCGGTGCGATCGGATGACCAGGCGAAAATGTTGAGGCAAACAGCCGCAACAATATAGATTGGCACCGTCATGTATTGCGCTTTGGTGCTGTCTTTATACATTGTGTGGCTAATAGTAGGAATAAAATAAGAGATGGCTAAGAGGTTATTAGCGCTTTTCTTCGCCTTTGTGTGTGTGTGTGTGTGTTGTGAAATCGAAAACGGGGGTCAACTTACTACCAGCCCCAACAGCCAGCATATACAGGATGAGAAACATGTACGTCCTGGGGTCCGAAACCGCGGCCACAAACGCCTGCCAGTGACTCAAACGCTTGTCCGAATGGCCTCCCGTCGGAATGCCGTCGTGAATAATCCGAATGGCAGCCAGCTTGCGCTCCTCCGGTGTCAGTCGCTTCGACGTGCCGGGATAGTCAAGCAGGACGAAGAAGGCAACCAAGGCCACGCCAACAGTCGCGACTCCCTCAACAATAAACAGCCAGCGCCAGCCGGCAATTCCATGGGCGTCATGTAAATGGTCAGTGATGGCACCGGCCAAAATCCCGCCAAAGGCACCCGACAACACAGCAGCGGTGTAAAAGATGCCAAATCTCTTGCCTAGAAGGTGTTACCCTGTTAGTCCCCTCTTTTCTTCTTCTTTTTTTTAAACACCAGCTTCAAAAGACTCGGAGAGTAAGCCGCGTACCTAGCTCTGCTTTGGTGTACCAGCAGCTAAGGTAGTATAGGACACCAGGGAAAAATCCAGACTCGATGCACCCAAGCACGAAACGGAACCCCAATAGAACGCCGTAGGTTTTGGAGATGGACATTAATGCGCTCAGTGCGCCCCAGACGAGCATGGTGGCTGGCAGGAACAGGGACGGTTTGCTCCGGCTGAGAATCATGTTTGAAGGGACTTCGCAGATGAGGTAGCCGAAGAAGAAAACGGATAGAACCCAAGCGTAGCGATTGTCGTCGAGATCAAGATCTACCGCCATGCCGGCGATTTTGGCATTGCCCTGGGCTAGGGGTTAGTTGAGGTTGTACAAATATACGTTACACAACGTCGGGGAGTGGGAACAAGCTCACAATGTTGGTCCGGTCGACATAATTGAGAATGTACATGATCCAAAGAATCGGCATGAGGAACAAGTCAATCTTCCTCACAAGCTTCTTCTCCTCGGGCGAATGAGGCACATAGCGGCGCAGCGCCTCGGCCAGCTCAGGCTCATTGCTGACCACGGGAGACATCTTCTTCCTCACATCATCGAACGAGTGGGTTCTGTCACCGCCCGCCATTTGCGCTTCGCACTCGGGGCAAATGTCTCTGGCGGCTATGCAAGCAGTCAACTGGTGCTACAGAGACGCGCATGGGGGCCGGGATTGCTGTCCAAGGGGATCAGTCAACTTTAAGACGATGCTGGAACAACGCATCGGATCGTACCACGACCAGGTCCTTTGGCCGGTTAGGATGGCACGATGAGTCGTCTGCCTTCTTCCCCCACGGGGGCAGCTGCGAGTTGTTGCGAAAACCGACGCCACAGCGCTGAGTTTGGCTTAGCCGTCACAAGTTGGTAGGTGTTCTGTTGTAATATGGAGAACAAGCCGTGTCTGATGTCGGAGGTTCCAGGTCAGCAAGCGGCACGGCTGGGACCGTAGAGAAGCCATTGGCCTCGTGTTGCTGATTTGCCCCACTTTTCCCACGCATCTGCTTACTCATTGGTCGATGGGAAACAACATTCGAGAATCCAGAATCGAGATTCTACAAGACCGTTACCAAACATTACAGACTACGGTGCTCGGCTAAGCGCTTCCTTGCACAGGCATGACATTTGCACGCGGCATCTCCAAAACCGTCATGGCCGCCAAGGTCCGACCTCTTCGCTCACAACCTTGTAAAGAGTCACGCGGACGCGGCGTTGGTCCTCCAATGCATGGCCGTTGCTAATAGTACAATGCCATCTTTTTGTCTACCGTGTCAAGTACCCAAGGTATACCGGCTCAATCTCCATTCTCGCCATCAATATTGTGTACAGCATTACAAAGACGTACATGGTGAGGGATATTGTGGCATCATGGGTATGCCCAGAGGAAAACGCCTGCCAAGCATCATCCCGGCATTTGTGAGCTTAGAGCATCCAAAAAACTAAGCCCATACTGTTGGTCCTGGTCCAATCCAAACTGATTTGGCACGTTTGCAGTGCCAAACATCCAGCTGTTCCAATCGGGCCACGCTCCACCATCGGCATATGGCACCGGCACGGGTTGTCCACTTTGAACCTGCTGCTTTTCCATTGCATTGTGTTCTTTGAACTTCTGGAGCATGCCGTTGAGCCCGCGGCCGAGGTAGTGCGCGACGTGGCGGACGCAAGGGCTGGTTTCTTCCAAAAGCATGATGATGCCTTCTATGGTGGAAGCGACGGTTTCGTGGCGAATGTTGAGGTTTGCGGACCGCCATTGCGTCTGGGCCTTCATGAGGAAAAGGCAAGCATACGCAATAGTCGTAAGTAAGTATAGAGGTACACCCAGCACTGCACGCCTCAGATCGGGGTCGTTGAGAATGAGTTCCAAGGCTCCAAATGCACTGCATATCGCCAGATTCACAAACTCGCGGCGCTCATTAGACATTCTATATTGCTCACTAGGCCGTAGGCCCCGAAGACATATTGCGAATAGCTGTACTCGGGCAAAATGGTAGTGCAGTATGACGCCCTTGGCTGGATAGTCGGCGATGTGGGGGTTTGGTGCTAGATAAAAGAAAAACAAGTAGGTTAGAAGCTGACATGTGCTGTCTAGAAGGCTTTCATTGTCATACCAAGTCGAGGCTTCCATTGATCTCTCCATCGTGCCAGGTCAACGTCAAACCGTCGCAGGATTTCAAACTCGTCGTTGGCAATCATTCTCGATCTGTCTGGCCCGAACACATGGTATATTCGACTAAGAATGATAAACATGCCGACCTGGCTATGCAGGCGAAGATCCGACATTGTGATTCCGGGCAAACGCAAAAAGTCCTCATGACAAGACAGCGTCGAGTTCTCGCTAATCACAGGTGGACGGCCGTAGGCAATGCTGAAGTGGTGATCACAAACGTACAAAAGGTACCACAACCTAGCCTCTTCGACGTACTCTGGACGGTCCCCTATGGCCATGGCACAGAACTGGTGCAAGTTGAGTTCTGTGGCGATTCTTACAGCGAGCCCTGACAACTTCCAGCTCAAGTCTGACAAGTAAAAGGCGCCAATGCACAGTCCTCGCACATCATCAAGCGAGTGGTAGCGATCAAACATGGCCTGGCTGACGAGTTCGAGGAAGATCGGGTAGCAAACATCAAAGGACGTCCCGTCATCTTGAGCATGCAGAGCGGTCACGGCAAGGATTGCTGCGGTGAGAAGAGAGGATGATGCTCTGGCGCTTTCTAAGCTGTCATGAACTAGTGCTATGCCACCCCATAGATATGCATTCAGCGTTTCCCGAAATCTTGCAAAGAGCCTTTCTGCTTCCTGGGGGTCGAACTTTCCCTGGGATATAAAGTCGGGCTTTCGAGATCGACTCTGGGGGCGATGCATCCTGGCCCACGGGTCACTGCGGACATTGCGTAGTTTGGTGACCTCGTAAAGGCTTGCCATGGGCGCATTTACCATGGCCTGGTCGTCGGTCTCTTGTACTTCTGGCTCGACAGAGTTCTCCCTGGCCATGCCGGTAGGTCGAACGGGCACTGGCCCATCGGCACGAGCCTGGGGTGGCGGCTGCATTGATGGCCCGTGGCCACCGCCTCGAAAGCCGTTACTGGCCTGCAAGCCCGGCAGTTGATTTGGCACCGGATGCGGCATGTTCAACGCCCTCTGGACCTCGCACAAGGCAGCCTGGAGGCTCTGCATCTGCGCCTCAATGTTCTTCTTCCATTCATTTTCGCTGTCCAACAGCGTCTGCAAGCTCTTGTTCACGACACACTTCAGGCCAAGCCTGGCGCAGCGCGCACACTGCTCTTGCCCAGGGTCCAAATCACATTTGATTTTGCGGTTCTGGCATGCTTGACCTGGTTTGCGGAGTCAGCGCAGACACTAGTTGATGGACGAAATAAAGCAACGTCTCGCCTGCAGCCAACATGTCACTTTTGACGTGAGACATGTTCTTGTCGACGCCATGGCCATGACAGGGAGCCAGAAATATTGGCATAAATATTGGCAGGACACAATACAGCAAAAAAAGAGGGAAAAAAAAAAAACTTACATGCTCGAATCTTCCGAGAGACTTTCGGCTGATGTTCGGCCAACTCGCTGGGCGGACTGACTTGGGATGAATCGAACCTTGCCCGCTTCATGATGCGATCAACGTCGTGGAACGAAGTCCGCGTGCCAGACTGGGTGGGACGGAGCTGTCTCTTTAGCAAAGAAAAACCTGGAAGGTCGATAAGAGGGAGCGGGATAAAGACCGACGCGAGGTACGAAAACTTTTGGATCTTAATCAAGTCCCGTCTTTGGCCCCGGCACTCCGTCCCTCCCGCGCATGCGGCCGTGCACGTGCTCTCCACCAATCGCGGTTAGAGCCTGGTGCCAACCTGGTCCCGGGCACCGCCGGGTGGCGGCCCGGCGGCGTCTGGCCTGATGTTGTGCGGAACTAGGGCAATTGGGACCCGGCGGGTTTCTGCCCGTCAGTCGACGCACCACGCAAACGAGTTCGAATCTGCGGGGATTTGTGGGCGGCAACATGGCGAGACAAGCTCGAATTGAATCTCGGTCGGAACCCCAGGCCAAAGTCTCAGAAATGGGGTTCCCGAGCATTGGAGGGCGCTGGTAATGGGGATTCGTGGTGTTTTAATACAAGTTTCCCCATCATCGATTAGATAGGGGTCATTTTAATTGTTACAATGCATACAATACACTACAGGCCGCACAACTTCATCGTATCGCAAAACGGCAAACAATTGCAAGTGGGCGAGATGAGGACGCAAGCCGGCCAGATGCCATTCACAGCCAGCAAACCTGACGGCACAGAGCCCGTCTCTCCTCACAATATTGGTTTTGTTGGTGCCCGTGGCTGGAGTCTGCCGTTGCTCATGGGTGTCGTGTCCATGCCTGAATTCCAGGTTCGTGTCTACGACGATTCCTCTGACCTGTTGCCGAGGCTCGCAGCGCTGGGCGCAATCACAAAAGACAGTCTCGTCAAAGTGGCAAAGCACAGCCAGATTATCGTTTGTGCAACATCCGATATCAAGGAGCTAGAGAGCCATCTCTTTTGCCCTCAGAAGGGCATATTACCAGGTATGGGCCACTTACATGCAAACGGCCAACTACAAACATTCAATAAACCATGATTCATGAATTAACCGCTTTGCCAACAGCACTTCCAAAGCATTCCATTGTTCTGCTTTCCTCCAACAGTCAACCGTCGTACTATCCGTACCTACTTCGAAGAATAGCAGACGAGGGCCGGCCTGACGTCTTGCTTTTAGATGCCGCCTGCCTCGCCAAGTCATCACATGGTAATCACCACGGGCGCAACGTCCTTGTTCTGTCAGGACCCGCCAGGGCTCTTTCAGAAGCAAATAGAACTCTTCACGGTATTCCGGTCCAGATATGGCCGATCCCCGGAGGGCTTGGCCAGGCCTCAAAAGTGGAAATGGTTAACCAACTCTTGACCGGCTTGCATGCAGCTGCAGCTGCCGAGGCAATGGGACTGGCAGCCAAGGCTGGCCAGAACACACAGGTTACCTTCGATATCATAAGCAATGCAGCTGGAACGTCATCGGCGTTTGAGACACGGGTTCCGCATATGCTGTCAGGAGATTGGAAGTCTCAAGCTACATGGCAGCCAACCCTCAACAGTCTTGTATGATATCGCTGAGTCGTCGCCCCTTGTCCACAGCAAAAGGTCCACTTCTGACAATCCTGAGCATATTAGAAATCTGCCATTTCAACGGCGCGGAAACTTCATTTTCCCTTGCCCCTGACTGCCACTGTGGAGCAGTTATTCATATCTGGTGTATCGCAAGGCCTTGGTAATGATGGCGACGGCGCACTGGTTCGTGCCTACCTGCCCGAATGTCCCGACCTCGTCAGGGAGAATGCCGGCCGAAGCAGTGTGAATACGTCGCATGCTTCGTCCGGTAGGGCTGGTGACGTTTCCAAGATTGGCTTCGTTGGCCTGGGAGCCATGGGTCAGGGCATGGCCACCTCGTTGATCCGGGCCGGCTTTGTTGTCCAAGGCTACGATGTTAATCCTCCTGCAGTAGAGGCATTCGCCAGCCTGGGCCCAGATGCCATTTCAGCAGGTTCCCCGGAAGAAGCAATTAGTGGATCGGATGTGGTCCTGCTCATGGTGCAGAATGCGAGCCAAATTGACGATGTGCTCTTCGGAAGCTGCCGAGGTGCCGCTGCTTTATCCAGCGGTTCGGTGGTCATTGTCAGTTCAACGGTTCCACCAGAACATGTCCGAAATGTCAACTTGAGACTGAAGGAGATGGGCAAAGGCGTTCTGTTGGTGGATGCCCCGGTCAGTGGAGGTGTAGCTCGGGCTGCCAACGGCACATTGACGGTGAGCCTTCCCCTCCACGCTTTGTTGCCCATGAAACCCCGTTTTTGTTGACAGATGAACCATGACCAGATTATCTGCTCTGGGGAGGATGAGGGCCTCTCCAAAGTTCGAGGTGTACTCCTGGCCATGACAGGGGGAGAAAAGAATCTATGCCAGGTCGAGGGCGGCATCGGGATGGCCTCATCGGTGAAGCTGATCAACCAACTGCTCGCAGGAGTTCACATTGCTGCGGCTGCTGAAGCCATGGCCTTTGCTGCTCGTCTTGATCTTGACACCCAAATAGTATTTGACATTTTCAAGACGTCCTCGGCGTGGAGTTGGATGTTTGAAAATAGAGTTCCCCAGATGTTGAACGGTGATTGGACCCCACATTCCGCTTTAGCCATTTTCGTCAAAGATCTTGGGATAGTTCTTGATGAAGCCGCGCGGTTGAACTACTACGCGCCCATATCCTCTGCTGCACACACCTTGTATCTAGCCGGGGCAGGTCACGGCTGGACAAATGAATCCGACTCAGGCGTAGTAAGGCTGTGGGAAATGCTAGGACCATCAGTCAGGAGCAAGGCCAAGGAGAAATTGGGCAATCTAAACAACCAGGGCACCAGCTCAGCTGCTAACCAGAGTGTTGAAGACCAAGCCAAGATGACATCGATCATGAACCCCGGTTCTGACAACCACAAAGGGCCACAGCGCCTCCCTGCTGCTCCTGTTCTTGCATCACTGCCACCAGAATACCCCCATGACGTCCTCAGTTCCATCCGGGGGGTGGTTGGCAGCGATCAAGTTCCTACGCTGGTAATATTGGACGATGACCCCACAGGCACACAGACTTGTCACGATATTGACGTCTTGACGGTGTGGGATTCGGAGACCCTAGATTCCGAGTTCCGCCTTGATCCCCGCGGTTTCTTCATCTTGACCAACTCACGAGCACTCCCATCCGCAGCAGCTCGCAAGTTGATCCAAGAAATCTGCGCAAAGGTGGCACAGGCAGCGAAAAAAGCCAACAAGGCCTTCGAAATCGTCCTTCGGGGGGACTCCACCTTGCGAGGGCATCTTCCCGAGGAGCCCGAGGCAGCAGAGGCCGCCCTTGGTGCATTTGACGGCTGGATAATTTCTCCATTTTTCGCACAGGGCGGCAGATACACTATTGATGACGTGCACTATGTGAAAGAAGGGGATACCCTGGTGCCCGCCAGTCAGACACAGTTTGCTGCCGATGCTACTTTTGGATACCAGAACTCCAATTTGCGACAATACATGCTCGAAAAGTGCGGCCCGCGCTTCAACGATGATTCCTTCCTCAGCATCACGTTGCAAGACATCCGAGAGGGGGGGCCCAAAGCGGTGACTGAGAAGTTGCTCTCTGTGGGCCCGGACTCTAACAGGGTCGTCATTGTGAATGCCGTCGCCGAGTCAGATATGCATGTATTTGTCGCCGGCCTTTTGGAGGCGGAGAAAGCTGGCCGGCGATATCTCTACCGAACTGGGGCGGCCTTTGTCTCGTCGAGACTTGGCATCAAGGGCAAGCTGCCACTCACCATGAAAGATCTGGGGGTGACTTCGGCTGCCGGCGAAAGACGTCCTGGCGGACTGATCATTGCCGGATCATATGTTCCAAAGACGACAGTACAGTTGGAAGCCTTGACACAACGGCTCAAAGCTAAGCTGCAAGTGGTGGAACTCAAAGTGCCAGACTTGATTGCCTCGGAAGATGCTGCCGAGAGCATCGTCAGGGCAGCAGCACAGGCTGTCTCCATTAAGCTTTACGCCGGACATGATGTTCTCGTCATGACATCAAGGGAGCTCATAAAGGGTGATGATGGCCTTAGTTCTTTGAACATTGGCTCTAAAGTTGCCAACTCTCTCATGCAATTGCTAGAGCTGGTTGATGTCCATCCGAGGTACATTATCGCCAAGGGTGGCATTACTTCATCCGACACTGCCACAAAGGGCCTCAAAATGAAGCGCGCCAGGGTTTTGGGCCAAGCTGCTCCTGGAGTGCCGCTATGGCGATGCGATGAGGAAACAAGCCGACATCGGGGCGTCCCGTTCGTCGTTTTCCCTGGAAATGTCGGCAATGAGGACACCTTGGCGGACCTCGTGGAAGCATGGGCAATGCCAGACGAAGCATCATGACCGGAGGGTCTTGCTTTTTTCGAATATGATATCACCTAATACATTGCCGTAAATACGAGGCTTATAGCGCATGTTTGCCGCTAACACTTGTTCCTGTCTTCACAGCCCATCATTCGCAAGAAAAATACATGTGTGCTTGTAGATTCCTGCCCCTGAGCTTGCCGCGGGATACGAACCAAGTTATCCACCATTGCAAAAGCATTACAAATACACTTCCCCCACATATCTCGGCAGGAATGCAGCGTGTTGAACATGAGTTGCTGTGGCTGTGTCTCTCAGAAGCTCGCATGCGAAGACATACTCGTGAGTTCGAACCACACACCAAGTGAGAACACAACGTCATAGCCGTGAAGAATTTATGTCGAAAGAATCCAGCAAACCAGGCGCACAGCTGCACCCATTTCTCAACTTCAGATTAATCCTGTTTGGACGCTAGAATCGCCAGTTGCACTTTTTGGGAAAGAAACACATCACACATCATACCCAGCGGACGCTTTTGGTTGCAAGGCGAAGCGAACCGTGGAGCGCCTTAAGGATCTGGCGGAAGAAAATCTGCACCATGCACGCTTCTAGGTCTGCCTCGTCATGGTCTTCAATACCCAAGTGGCCATTACGGAGGCCGATTCTAGGCTGGTATAAGTGTTGGCG